GAGCGCTTCATGGACCAATTAGTTCGATTCTGCCCCTGGATTGCTTCTTTGAAATCATCATGTAAAATTATTAAGTAAAAAATACAGGAATTCTTTAATGTCCTATCTACAACATAAATATCATATATATACATTTATACATACATATATATATATATATATACACACACAATCTTATAGCGAACTTTGAGAAAAACAAAAAGTAGAGCAGGCCAAAAAATTGAGTATTAGTGTATAAAGAGAAAAAATTGGTAAGGAAGACAAAATTTGATACTACCGGCCAGCTTTCAGCAATGAGAAGGAGGCATCTAATGTTGACTGGTTCCATTTAGTTTCCTGATCATAAAAACACCAACCCTTGATTTCGCCATTTTCATTACTCAATTACAATTAATAGAAAAACATGTCACTAGAAATTACAGAGGAAGATGATGAAGAGAACCCATTAACAAACACGTTGAAGAAGGAAGGGATCAAGAGGATTATAGAGTATCAGAAATCAATCTACTCATCTTCTTTGTCTGATAAAATTTCAGCTGAATCCTCCTCCACCCACCAAAGCAAAAGGTTAATGGAATTAATGGAAAGTGGAAATACATCTCTGAGGAGATTATTTGACATGGAAGATACAAGATTGGCTAATCATTTGAAAGATTACTATGGCCATCCTCCTGTAACAAAGTGGGAAAGTAACAGAGAAGATGAAGGCCATGATCCATGGCTAGCTATCAACGAGTTGACTCGACCTGACTCCGCTATTGAAACTCACTCCGTGAACCACCAGGTTGGGGTAAACACAAGGAGAAGGCAGAGAGCTAGAAATCGTAAACTGACAAGGAAAAAGTCATTTAAGAGATTGCCTGGTGGGTTGAGATGCATGATCTTTAGATTCAGATTGAGGATTAAACGAGTTAGGATTATGATTTGTAGTAAATTTTTTTGAAACTGTAACCAAATTATTCTTCACAGTTCTATGAGATTCAGTGTACTGTAGTTATGTTTATCCACAAATGAACAAGACATGAAAAGAAGAATTAGAAGTTTAAAGGAAAAAAAAACAAAAGAATTTCTCACGTTCTGATATTTGCCACTGAAGCACCCGCTTTCAGAGTATCAGCATCATCTTTTTTCTGGAAGAAGCTTGATCGCAGATAACACAGTGATCAGAAATTAATTTTTCTATCACACTTCCTTTTTCGATTGGGAATCTCCTGCTCTGCTTGTTCCATAGGTGCAACCCATAAGTTTCGTTACTGAGTTGCAGAAACTTCGCTTCAACCCATCTTGAATCCTTTCCAGTTTTGGGGCTTGAAAAAAGATTCTGTATTCTTGTCCAGCCAACTGGGTAAAACGCCGTGGGAGACAACACTGTGAAATTATATCCCGGTTTTCCTTCTACTTCATGAACCACTCTGGAAACCAAGTAAGGTCCGTTATGTCCCCATTTATTTCCGTCGAAAGTTGCAGCAAATTCTTTCATGAAACTCAGAAGAAGTGGATGGTTCATATCGAATATCAGAACTGCATTATTTAATCTTGTCCAGTTCTTGGAGGTCACATCAATGGCCTGTGCTCCTATTGAATTACTCAACTCTTTAAAACTTTTCAGAACGATGAAGTCTGTGTCTAAGTAAACGCCGCCGTATTTGTACAGAACTGCAAGTCTGATTAGATTAGATAGATTTTGAGCCAGTGGAATCTCACCCGGGTCCTTGCTTCCGCTCTGAATTTCATCGAGCCAAATTTCAGCAGGAGTGTTCTTGAACAGAAGAGGTAAGTCAGGGGTGACTGCAGCGAGTTTAAACCCTCGATCAAGTAGCGGCTTCATGATGTTGTATCCAAGTGGAGAATCCATTGTTGTTGATATAATCATCAAGCAACCATGTGGGTGAGATTTGAATACACTTTCCATGGCTAAGACTTCTCTTCTTCCAAAAGAACTTGCCGGAGAAATCCATGTCATGAAGAACCTAACCTCACAGTCGTCGTTGAAAAATTCAAGAACTCGACCATGAAACTGCCGCGTTAAGTTGTTTGACTTGAAAATCTCAATTCGTGGCAGTCTTTCCTTGAACCACGCAACCCTTTCTTCTCTTGTCAAATGCAACGGAGGCTTTATAGAACTTATCTGACCTTCACTATCAAGAACTTCATTATTGGCCCCTTGCGATTTCTCAGAAGAAATCAGTGGTAGTTGCTGGTTTTCACTACTGAATTTTTCACGACGATCAGACTCCTCTTCATCTTTCCTGGAAGACAGTGCTCCCAAGTTAGGAACAACAACGGTGATTCGTTGGCCATCAACGTCTTTGTATCTCGTAAACTCAGGGATTAATCCTTTGGAACTCGAAGTTGCAGAATATTGCAGAGATAGGTTATAGACGATGCCGTCTGCGTAGATTATAAAAATGACAACAGCAAAGACGATGGAAGAGAAGAGAGGAGACTTCGTGCGACTAAATTGGCGGTAATCAAACATCTCTTGCGAGAAGCCGCGCAGTGTTATGAAAAATCGATAGAGAGAAAGCTTGAAGGAAGCTGGCATGGCGATCGTATGCTAATCGAGGGTGCGATATAATATAGAGGAAGACAAGTAATTTAAAACCGAATACAACTCTCTCTTTTTCTTTTCTGAGTTTGTTTCAATTTAGGTGTTAATTAATTAATTAATTAATTATGTTGCAATTCAAAGCGTGTTTAAGAGAGATTAAAACGTAGTTGGAAAACTAGAAAGCCGCCAGGGGGACTGAGTCTCTCATATGAGATGTTGATATGGGCACGTCGTTCTCAGTGGGGTCCACTTACGTAAAAGCGAGAGTAGAAAATTAAGATGTTGAAACTTATCTTTCTAACAAAACATTGTTTCTTAGACTATCTACCATGTGATACTACGTCGTTTTATGCCTAACCCCCACCCCACCTTCTAATTAAATTAATTGCTTATATATAATTCATTAAAACAATATATATATATATATATTGTTGAAAGCAATTAATTAATTTATTATCCAAAGCATGATAGAAAGGTATCTATCTTACTCCATGATGTATGACTTAACTTTGATTACATATAATTAATTATAAATGAAATATTTATCAATTACTATTTATTTTTTACTCAAAAATATCATTTGATTTTTAGTACTAAAAATACCATTTAAAGAATGTTATGGATTCAATTATCATTTTTTATAATTATAAATCTCAAAATTTTATATATGTTACGTAAAAAAATAACATAAATATCCCTAATTATTAAATTAATAATCTTCTTGTTTGTTTGTTTGTTTGTTTGTTTGTGTGGTTAGGATATAGTTACATGTATAAAAACATTATATACATATATATATGTATGTATAAGATAAACATATGATTTGATTAATTAATTTTGATCAAAAAGACGTTTCAGTACATGGAAATTAAAGTATACACATTTATATTGGGCGTAGATTACGTGCTAATCATGAAGAATAAGATACTCTAATAAATACTGGCCAAAAAATTACAATTGGTAAAATATTTTTTTAATATTAATCCGATTTATTGATCAACAATATTCCTCCTGGAATTTAGCTACGTGTATGAAGTCCATGATATATATATATATATACAGGCATGGTGTGTGTGTGTGTGTGTGTGTGTGTATATATGAAGTCCATGGGTGTGTATGTATATGTAGGCATGCATGTACGTGGGGAAGCAAGAGTTTGGTGCATATATATATATATATATATATATATATATATATAAGTGACCTGTTTGTTGTTTCTTCGGGACATATACAATTCCAAAATGTGATGCATAGCCGATGTTTTTTTTAATGTAATTGGCATCTCATTTTATAACGGACTCGGAAATTTTAAAATGAAATATGTGTATTAAAAAGGTCAAATGCGGAAACGAAATAAAAATTTGATTAACATCCCTTACACCAAAACCAAAAACGTGCTCAAAGTATAAAAGAACAAATTAAGTAAAAGAGAAACTCGGAAATAAAAGTTATAAATATAATTACGGAGTCTTCAGGCGTCCCCTTTGCCGTCTTCTTGCAGAACGGGCTCGAGAACAATGTATTCCTGATCTGAAATGATTAAATAAGGAATGAGCTACACCAGCCCAGTAAAAACATCACACTATCTCACCATCACGGAGGTAAAGGTGGGTAGAAAATACAAAAAGACCAATAGAGCATAATTTACAACAAATTCTTTTATCAATAATAAAATCCTTTACTATCCACTTACCTCGGTGAAATTCATAAAACAATATACGAAAGCAATAACATTATCATTATCATGAAATCATATGAGCTGTATAACATAATACTCATCACACCTTTGCAATTCAATCATTACACAACATATTTTTCCTCATTTACCAGCCTATTAGTATCCATGGGGATCCATAGGGGTCCCGCTACCCGTGAACCCTTAACACTTGTAATCAGATTCCAGGACCGTCCGGTATGGGTGCCAAAACTATAAACCTCAATACCCCGTCTGGTATGAGGATGAAACGGGTCGTCCCCATACCCCGTCCGGTATGGGCGCCAAAACACATAAGGTCTCCATACCCCGTCCGGTATGAAAGACCACAATCCCGGTAGGGTTCCCTACGGACCCGGTCCGTCTACCATCTCCCAAGATATCTAGTCAGGCTGACCACATTATACAATTATCAATTTACATAACCTTTCATTCCCCTTTTCTTCAGTCAGCATCATCAATTCACACACAAACAAGCAAACCAATAATTTATGTCAAACAAGACAACATACAACATCGGTTTCTCAGTCATTCAACACATAATTAATAAAACAGTAATATATGCACACGAAACTATGAAATGAAAACATCAGATCTCATACTGTATTTAAAACCGTAAAATAGGCCAAACAACAGCTAACCGACAAACACACCAGACTCGGGCTCCATTAGCGACCTTAAACAATTTCACACATCTGTTGATTCATGAAATACCGTTTTATCATTTATTGAACTTTAATACCGTGATAGGAAATAGGGTGAGGGGTCCTTACTTGTTTCGGGGTCCGAATACGGCTCTACAGTGCGCCTGCAGGCTGTCCCTAATTTTTCCTGAATTTTTTCTGGGGAACTGAAACGCACTACTGGTACCTGCACGTGTCCTAAAAAATCTCAAATTAGACCCAGGGCCCCTTTCGGCCAATATCGCAATTCTGGCACGGCGGCTCCGCCGTGCTCCGGCGGCGATTCGCCTCGGGTTGGCCGTTTTCGGTCGTTTCCGGCCGAATTCGGCCACACTTGCATCGGTCCCTACGATAAAACAACCCTAGGGCCCTCAGGGGGCCAAAAAATTACGAAAAACCGAAGTTTACCAGCGGCGGCTCTCCGGC